CCCAGAAAGTGTAGTAGTTGAAGCAACGTGACCACAGTTATCCCCTTATCAAGCACCAAGTTACCTCCCATTCATGTTCCCTAGGCTCAACCTGTGCCAGATGAACTAGTCACCAAGCTTTTGGGCAACCAGGCAACATTCAGCCCAATTGTGACTGTGGAACCCCGGCGGAGGAAGTTCCACCGGCCCATAGGGCTGCGGATCCCTCTACCCCCCTCTTGGAAAGACAATCCCCGGGACAGCGGGGAAGGGGACACCACAAGTCTCCGCCTCCTCTGCAGTGTCATTGGTGAGAGATGCCCTCCTGCCTCTGTCCCCGTTTCCTCCTGCAATAAACTTTGCCTCTGCCATAGCAGCTCCTGCAGAAGCAGCCAGGTGGGAATACGTACGGGCGGAGACCACGTTCCCCTCCTTTCATAACTGTTCACCTCACAGTGTGTTGACTTCACTCATGGTGATTTGTTCTTGGAAGGAGGTGTGTAGGGATGATGAGCTTAGCTTCAGATCCATTCTTCAGTGTCTGGGTCTCTAATCTGAAGGGCAGAAGGGGGAGGGGGTGCTAGAGAGGGAGGGCATGATAGGAAAAAGCCTTTGTTTAGAGAGCCAAGGAGAGCTTCATGTAGACCTATCCATCTTTGTCCTTGTATGTTTGGTTCCTAGATTTCTTGTAAATTCAAGGGGAGTGCAGGGGCCCTGTGAAGTGGCCTTCTGTAGGGGTTCAGGTGCTGGTAGGATGTCCCTAAGCCTCATCATTTCTCTGCTAACATTGCAGGAGGAATAGCAGAAGCCCAGTGGGAAGATATTACAGGAACTACCAAGTTGGTCTACGCCAATGAGTGTGCCAACTTCACCACCAATGTATCTGCAAGGTGAGTTGGGTTGGGAGCAAGGGATGGGAAGGAATGGGTCTCATTCTCTCATTATAAGCATATCTCATCTAGTATCATGGAAGGAGAACAGGACTTGGGTTCAAATCTCAACTTTGCTATTCACCGATGGTGACTCTGAGCAAGTCTCTGAAACTCAGTTTTCTTATCTGTAAAACGAGAGGTTGGGCTAGATGACATCAAAGGTTCCTTCCAGACCTAAATCTACGATCCTGGTCCCACATATACCAGCTAAGCTGCTTTCTCCTTCAGCCTAGATGTGGGGTTGCTGACCTCTTGACCTGACCTGACCTGCCGGGTCTCTCGCTATCTATCTCCTCCTTATTTTGCCTCTTCTCCCTAAAGAAGCAACAAGGTTTTCTTCATATATGACTTGAGTCTGACTCTTCATCACCTGCGACCCTCTGAGTTTGGAGTGGGGTGGGGGGCTGGTCCCGCCTGAAAAGCTGCACTTGCTCCTTAGGTTTTGGTTGTCTGATTGCCCACGGACAGCTGAGGCTGTGGACTTTGCCACGCTTCTGTACAAGGAGCTGATCGCCGTGCCGTACATGGCCAAGTTTGTGGTGTTTGCCAAGATGAACGATGCAAGAGAGGGACGGCTACGCTGCTACTGCATGACGGATGACAAAGTAGACAAGACCTTAGAGCAGCATGAAAACTTTACTGAAGTAGCCCGGAGCAGAGACATTGAGGTACCCAGTGCTGCCGGGGGCATCGCCCCTCACCCCTTCTCTGCCCCCAGGGCTGCTGTTCTGAGAGAGCATCCACAGCGGGGATAAGGGAGCCCGGGGACTTAGCAAACTCCAGTCCCTTAAAGCGGGTGGGAGTCTTAACTCATGTCTCTTCAGCTCCCTCATTGAGAAATTTGGGCTGTTTGGGTGTGGGCAAAGGGAAATGCCATATGCTCCTAAACGAAGGATACCACTTCTCAAATGATGTCTCTTTGAAAGGCAAACATACACACATTTCTTTATTTGTGTGTGTGCGCGCGTGTGTGTGTGTTCATTAAAAATGGCACCAACTGTTTATACAACTTGGGACCTGAGCTGTGGTCTATATTCCTATGGTGGTGGTCTTACCCTGTGTTAAGTGATGAAAGGTTAGTGGCACAATGGGAAAATAATAATAATAGTAGTTAAAATGTTACGTGGCAGCTAGATGGCACAGTGGGTAGAGTGCCAGCCTTGGAGTCAGGAAGACTCCTCTTCCTGAATTCAAATCTGGCCTCAGACACTTACTAGCTGTGTGACCCTGGGCAAGTCACTTAACCCTGTTTGCCTCAGTTTTCTCATCTGTAAAATGAGCTGGAGAAGGAAATGGCAAACCACTCCAGTATCTTTGCCAAGAAAACTCCAAATGGGGTCATGGAGAGTCAGATGCAACTGAAAAAAAATGACTGAACAACAACAACAACAAAAAATTCACAGAGCTTTAAGATTTACAAAGCACTTTACATATGCTATTTTGTTTGATCCTCATGGGAAAGCATTATTGTTATCCCCATTTTACAGATGAGAAAAACCAAGTCTGAGAAAGATGAAGTGATTTGCCTAGCATCACACAGCTAGTAAGTGTGTGATTCCAGCTTTGCCACTTAGCACCAGTGTGACCATCACTTTTCTCTGGACCTCAGTTTCTGTAAAAGGAGGGCTTGGATGTAGAGACCCTCTAGGTCCCTTCTAGCTCTCAAGTCTATGCTTTGGTTCTCCTCTGGAGCAGAAGCAGTAGAGAGAGCTGAGTAAATGATGGGAATAAATGGTGATCTGGGATCAGGAGGTTGTGTCCTGTTAGCACCTCTGGTCTTTGCCATTTGAGGCTACTTGCTGCAGGATAGCAGACATCACAGAGCCTCAGGATCCATAGTGTGGGACCATTGGCTGTGGGACCCCCCACTGATAGGGAAGTAATTAACAGCTAGAGTACGGGGGTTGCAATGTGGGCTCTGCCACTTACTAGTTGAGTGACTCCAGGGCGTCGCTCTCCTCATCTCACTGAAGGACTGTGAGGATAGCTTAATATGAGATGTGGAAAATCCTTTGAAAAGTTGAAATCACTCTACAAATGCCAGGCATTGCTGTTACTCTAGGTGAGGTGTATTACCATTCTTTCAGTCCTTTGTATGAAGTATAAGATGGGTCAATGTGTTAACAAGATCTCTCTCTCCCAAATTTTCCAGTTATCTCTGGCACTAGAGATCTTTTGACCTTGGCAAAGGGGTATCCTGGCCAACTGTGCCCAATAAATCCCCTGCACATTTTTCCTTTGGAAACTGTGTAAAGAACAAGCAAGATGAAAATACCCATTGGTTACTTTGGGAGTAATGTTAACTGCAAAGCAAACATGCCAATTTCATTGGACAAAGTCTTTGCATGGGGAACTTTAGCTCTAGTAAAATTCTCACCAAATACGTCTTCAAATAAAATAAGTACACAGGAAGTGTGCTTCTCCAGGGGGTCAGATCGGTCCTGAAGTTGGAGGTCTGTTAAAATTATTCCAAGGACCTCAAGAAAGCCAACTGAAAAGGAGTGATGCAAGGACAAGGTATGGGATGGGAGGGCTATCTGACCCCAGGTTCCAGGGGTCTTAAAAAAAATTAAAGAGAAAGAATTCTGTTCCAGCCAGAGCATCCCAGGAACAGAAAACTCCCCACCTCTGGTCCTCAATTTCATATCCTCTTTGCCCAACCCATCTGCCTCCTGCTTGATCACTTCCAAGCCATCTAACACCTCCCCACTCCTTCCCCAAGTCTTATTATGTCACCTCAAGTGAAGGCTGCAGCTAGTGATGAGAGAGAGGGGAAGAAGGGCCTCGGATCTCCTCGAATTTTTAGCACCTCCCTGAAAAGCTTAAGGTGGGAAATTCTGCCAGCCCCCATTGAACAGCCTATGATTTAGCCAGGTATTTACTCACCTGGAGGGAAAACCAGTGAAGTCTGAAGGAGAGCTCAGCCTTCCCTTATTTCACTAATCCAGTATTACTTAGCCTGATTACTCACTTTGGATTTTATTCTGACTTCAATCTGTACCCCATGGTACCTGAGGGCAAGCTAAAAGGCACAGTAGATAGAGTGCAAGGTACGGAATCAAGAAGATCTGAGCTCAAATTCCAGACTCAGACACTTTTTAACTGTGGGAGCTTGGGCAAGTCACTTATCCGTTGTCTGCCTCAGTTTCTTCATCTGTAGAATGGGGATAATTATAGCACCTTCCTAAGAAGGCTGTTATGAAAATCCAATGAGATTATATTTGTAAAAGTCCTGACTTAGCACAGTGTAATTGACACTATATAAAAGCCTATTCTTTTCCCTTGCCCCGGGATACCCTACAAAGCAGCCAGAACAGAGTATCAAGGGGACATGCAGTTCTCCTCATGGCTACACTGAACATTAAAAGGCAGTTTGCCAATACCATGTTATATCTGTACTATGTCATTACTGCCAAATGTTAAGCTACAGTGATAATTATTCTGATAAAGGTCATAGGAATTCCTAAGGATTCTTCTCTGAGCCACCCTCCCTGTTCATCATGATAGCAGAAATAACCTTCCCCAGTTTAAAAAAAAATAGCCCAGAGGAAAAGAGAGATGAATGATCCAGTTCTGGACCTCATCACCTGTTCCCCAGAGTATTGCAATCACTTCCTAATTCTCTCTGCTTCCAGTCCCCTCCCCTATCTAATCCGTCTTCCAGCATCAGCCAAATTGATGAACCTAAAGAGCCGGTCTGACTCTGCCACTCACTGGCTCAAGAAGTTTCCGAGGCTTCCTGGGGCCTCTAGGAGACAGTGAATCCTCTAGATGATAGAAAGGACCGTGGAAAAATGTAAAATCCTCCAGTATATTGATTGAACCCTTCACAATCTGGCTCTGGCCTTTTTTTCCACTCTGATTCACACTATCCTCTGGCTCCTACGTGGTCTGCGTTCCAACCTGGCCATTTTGCTCTTCCCAAGCCTGGAATGCCCTCCCTCCTCACTTCCACCTCTGGGAATCCCGTTTTCCTTCTAGGCTCAATTCAGTTGCTCCCTTCTACAAGAGACCTGTCTTAATCCTCCATGACCCACCCCCCCAAAAAAGTTGTAGTATTTTACATTTTTAGAGGCAGCATTGCATAGTGGGTAGTTAGCTGGCTTTCGAATCAGGAAGACCTGGGTTCAAGTCCTGCTTCTGACACATATTGTCTGTCCAACCCTGGGCAAATCACTTACTTTTTCAGGGCTACCAGGAAACACTCTAAGACTGTAAATTACCAGGAAAAAAAATGCTAATCTATATTGTAAAGGAAGCTCCCAATGCTGATGGAATCACAGGCCTGGTTTAAAAAGAATAATTATTATTATATGATATAACAAAATATGTGTTGTATTATATATAACTGTTATTATGCACATAGACATTTAACAAATCCTTGGTGAATCGAATCCAATCAAAGGAAGGGTAGCTATGTGGGGATTCTTTCTGACATGTTCTGTTGCCTTATGTTCTCCCTTCCTGTAGGTTTTGGAAGGAATGCCTCTCTTTGCAGAGCTCTCTGGGAACCTGGTACCTGTCAAAAAGGCTGCTCAGCAGAGAAGTTTTCACTTCCAGTCCTTTCGTGAAAACCGTCTTGCCATACCTGTGAAGGTGCGGACGAGCTTGTGGGTCCTCTGCTTGTGGCTCTTCAGGGGAGAGGGGATGGAGAAGTCTATGAGCCAGCCAGACACTGAAATGGTAAACAGACAGACAACCCAGAGCCCTGTCTACGGGAATCCCCTGAGTCCTTCTCTGTCGTTCCCTTCAGGTGAGGGACAGCAGTCGAGAAGCAGGAGGATCTCTGTCATTTCTGCGAAAGGCTATGAAATATGAGGATTCTCAACATATCCTCTGCCACTTGAACATCACAATGCCCCCATGCACCAAGGTAAGCCACGCCACTCTGCTCCTGGCATCTCCTTGCTAGGTCAGGAGACCAGGAATGCCTTTGTCAAGGGCAGGAGGCCTGCTGTAGTCCTAAGTCTTCTATATTTCTGACTTGGTCACTTGGTACTGTTTCCTAATATAGAAAAACAGCCTTTGAATTCTCAAAGATACAATCAGGTATTTCTCTCCTCTCAGAGCCAGTCACCTGCAACCTGACAGGGAGAGCATAGTCTACTTCTTTCTGCAAATGCAGCCAACCTTGGCCACAGCCATGGGAAGGGCATGATAAGACGAGGAATGGGAACTCCCACTGCGTTCTCTATGGTTCCATTAAAAAAAAAATACAGTTACCTTCTGGTGCTTTATAGCCCTTCTTCCTGTGGTGCCAGACCTGGAGAGAGAAGGATCATGGGGCTCTGGACCATCGTTCACATCCTAGTGTTTCAGAGCCTCAACACAAACTCACACAGGCCCTGAACCCCAAAATAATCAGAAGATCTCAAAGTTCAAAGGGAGTTCAGAGGTCATCTAGGTCCAACCTATACCTAAAATTAGACCCACCCCTCATTTTACAGATGGTGGAACTGAGGGCCAGAAAGGTTCCTTGACCACAGTCACACAGCTAGTCAGCGTCCAAGGTTGTATTCAAACCCAGTTCTTCCTGATTCCAAGTGTAACACCCTATCCACTATACTGCTCTTTCCCTTGGAAGCACAGAGGACTTGATTTTGAATCTTGGCTCTGTTAGTTACTAATTCCATGACCTTTACCTCTCTGGGACTCAGTTTCCTTATTGGTAAAAATGAAGAGTTTAGAGGCAGCTAGGTGGCACAGTGAATAGAGCACAAGCCCTGGATGGAGTTAGGAAGATGTGAGCTCAAATCCAGCCTCAGCCACTTACTAGCTATGGGGCCCTGGGCAAGTCACTTAACCCCAATTGCCTCAAAAAAAAAAAAATGAAGAGGTAAGACATAGCCTTTAGACATTAGTCTTTTGAGTCCTAAATTGTGTAAGGCTTTTGAAGATGGGGTAGCATGGTCAGCCCTGATAAAGAAAAAAAAAATCTGGTACCACCTTTTCTTCTTTTTCTACAGGGAAGTGGAGCTGATGATAGGAGAAGGACTTTAACTCCTCTGGCCTTGAGGGAAAGATACAGCCTCCTCGGTGAAACAACCCTTGGTATGAACTTCAGTGTGATGTTCTGCGTGTCTCCCCTCCCCCTCCCCCAGCATTCCAGAAAGGCTGTTAATTAGATTATTTTCCTGACCCCTCATGGAGACTCATGCAGACCGCTACCCCTGTAACCATGCGCCATTTTAACTTGGTCTGAACTTGGCACTTCCTGGCTTGACTAATCTACTGATTAAGCTCTTGCCCTGTGCCTAGCACCATGCCAGCCATTGCCTGGTCACTTTTCAGACATAGCCCACCTATGCTCGACAGTGACAGTGACCAAATGAAATCTCATGCTTTCTTTCCAGGTTCTCTTAGCGGGACAGACAGGGCAGATATGAAAATGGCTATTATATCAGAGCACCTCAGCCTCAGCTGGGCAGGTAAGTCAGAGAAAGAAACTGGCGCCATTTTAGTCTTCCTGTACTGTGTTTTGTACCCAGTTCCTCATAAGGTGGTTGATCATGTAGTGTACTGCAAACATGGTTGCAATTATTGCCTGAGGGGCCCTTACGGCGCCCTTTTTTTGGAGGGGGTGAAGGGCATGGGGAAGAAGGGAAAGAAAGGAGGCCGGGAGATAGAATCAGACAGGAAAAGTTTGTTGTTGTTCAGTCGTTTCTCAGTCATGTTCAACTCGTTGTGGCCCTACTTGTGGTTTTCTTGGCAAAGATACTGGAGTGGTTTGCCATTTCCTTCTCCAGCTCATTTTACAGATGAGGAAACTGAGGCAAACAGGGTTAAATGACTTAGCCATGGTCACACAGCTAGAAAGTGTCTGAGGCTGGATTTGAACTCAAGAATACGAATCTTCCTGACTCCAGGTGCCGTGGCACTCTATCCACTGTGCCACCTAGATCCCTAGAGGGAAAAATAGAGAGAGAAATAAATGACAGATAGTAATACAGAGAGAAAGAAAGTAGTTCTATTGGATTTGTGACTGTATCATCATAGGAGCTGAGAGCTGGGAGGGACAAGGTAGTCATTACAGATGAAGAAATTGAGGCCCATAGATATGGGATGGTTCTCCAAAGGTCATGCTTTTAGCTAATAGCAGAGTCAGGACCCTTGACTGCAGTTCGGTACCCTGGCAACTACAGGAAATTAGCCTTTTGAAATGGTGACTTGAATGTCAGGGGATTCTCCAGGATTTGCATTAATGACCTTTAGAGGTAACTGGTATCTGCATAGAGTGGGGCCAGTCTTCATCCGGTTGAATGAGGTGACCAGAAGGAGATGTTTTTCTCACACTGGACACTGGAATTTGTTTCTCTGTTTTACTTCTTAATCCTTCATATGATGGGGAGCTCTTTGACCAGTCACCTTCAAAGAAAGCTTTAGAAGAGCCCATTGAAAGGCAAGACCAGTGGCCTGGAAACTCAGAAGATGTCCATCCTTTAAATCTTAATTCATCCACTGCCTCTCACTCTTTCTCTGTATCTCTCCCTCTCTCCTCTCTCTCTGTCTCCCTCTCTCTGTCTCTCTGTCTGTCTGTCTCCTGTATGTCTCTTTCTCTTTCTCTCTCTCTCTCTCTCCCTTCCCTCTCCCTTTCTATCCCCCATCTCCCCTCCCTCCCTCCTTACCTGTTTCTCTTTCCTCTGTCTGTCCGCTCTTTATCTGTCATTTATTTCTCTCTTTCTCTTTTCCCCTCTAATTCTATCTCCCTGTTTCCTTTCTTCTCTTTCCCTCTTTTCCCTCTCATTCTCTCTACCTCTTACTCTTTTTTCTCTCATTTGCTCTCTTTTCTGTTCTCTCTGTTTCTTATTCTTTCCCCTTCTATTGGCCACCATCCTATCTTTTTCTCTCTCTCCCTTGTCTTCCTGTATCTTCTCATTATCTCTTATGTTCTTTTTCTTATTCTTTTCCTTCTTACTCTCTCCCCCTTCTTTAATCTCATTTTCTCTCTCACTGTGTTTCCTTTGTCTCTTCCCCCAGCTTCCTCATCCTTGAAATGAGACTTTAATACTCTTCTCCCTCTCAAAGCACTTATAAGAACCAGAAATAAAAAATAGAGTTGGTACCTTTACATTTTCGTTTTAAATGCAAATAAAATCTTTCCCCTGAGGAAATGTAAATACAGAAATAGAGCTTTATCTAAGTGTTTATAGGTTGGGTGGGTTTTGGGGGGGTTTGTTTGTTAGTTTTTTTTTTCTTAATAATAGATTTTGTGTGGCAAGATGAGTGAAAGGCCGTATAGCCTGGCGGAAAGGTCACAGGTCTCAGAGTTAAAGAAGCTAAGGTCTAGTGTGGCTCTGCTACCGTCTATGTGATCTTAGGTAAAAAGAGTACATAGTAATATAATACACATTTATGTTATATATGTACATGTCATATATGTCTGTATTGTGTTATATGTGTATTTGTGGTGTGTGTTGTATAATACATGTTATATTGAATTATATAATACATATGTATAAAATATATATCACTTGCATGTGTACATATTTTTGAAGAGAGAGAGGTAGAATGGTATAGTGGAAAAGAGATGGTCTCAAATTTGGGAAGACCTTTGTTCAAGCCTGACACATTGGCTGAGTGACCCTGGACAAGTTACCTAATCTCTTAATGCCCCAGGCGACTCTCTAAGACTCTCTAAATTGTAGGCACTGTTTGGCATTGGTAAAGGGATTTTCCTCCCAGTGAGTTCCCTACACCAATGAAATCACAGGTCTAGACCAATAGATAGATAATACATTACACATACATATATTACATATAGTATATTACACACATATATACATATACTCTATATAATATGCACACATGTGCTATATCATATACATATAGTATATAGCTTATTTTACATAGGTAGAATATTATATATACATAGTATATTACATATATAGTATTTTATACATATATAGTATATTATACATACCATATATAAATATATATTATATATTAATTATACATAATATATCATACACACATACATACAATATTCTATACAATAATACAATATTATATAATGATATATATAATACATACCATATATAGTATACTATACACATACATATGTAGCATAGCATATTTATATATATTACATATAGCCTATAATATATATATTATATAATGTTACCTATTACAATATAACGTATTGTATATTATACATGTATATGCTTATCATATGCACATATACATATAGTATAGAGTATATTACACATTGCATATAACATATATACTATATTATACCATATTAAACACATATTAAATCCTCATATTTTATTTATTTATATGTACATCATGTATTGTGTGAATATATATGTATTTATATATGTTACATATATTATTCCACTTGATCTTCGGAACAACTCAACGAAGTTGATATTCCAAGTGTTAGTCTCCCCATTTCATGAGTGAAGATATGTTTTGGAGAGCTGGAGTTCTTTGCCAGGTCACACAGCTGGTCATCAAAGCCAGGTCTTCAGACCCTCTCATCTAACCCAGTGCTTCTTCCAATTGTACCAACACTCCTCTTAAAGTCACTTCTCTCTTTGTGACCCAGCTTCATTTCCTGTAACATGAGGGTGTTAGACCAGATGATCTCTAAGTTATCTTTCCAACTGTAACATACTGTACAATTAAGCAGAGTTTCATTTCCTATAAAATGAGGGTGTTAGACCAGATGATCTCTAAGCTCTCTTTCCATCAGTAACATACTATACAATTAAGAAGAGAGGGAGGGGCAGCTAGGTGGTGCAGTGGATAGAGCACTGGCCCTGGAGTCAGGAGGACCTGAGTTCAAATGTGTCCTCAGACATATAACACTCAGTAGCTGTGTGACCCTGGGCAAGTCACTTAACCCCATTGCTTAACAAATTTTTTAAAAAGAAGAAGAAGAAGAGAGGGAGACATGGACGTTGTAAATCCCCATCTCAGTGACTGCCTTTCGATAAAAAATTACAAAGCCAACGTGATACAGTGTGATGGCAGGAGGCAGAAGGTTGGATTTGGCATCAGAGGCCCTAGGCTTGGGATCCTGGCTCCTTCACTTACTACCTTGTGTGACTTTGGACAGGTCACTTAACCTCCCTCGGTTTCCTCATCTGCCAGAGGAAGGAATTGGATTAAATGATCTCCAAGGTCTCTTCCAGGTCTGGATCTCAGATCATAAGAAACAAAGGGAGACCTCTTCTTTGGTTTCCTGGTCATGGTGAGGTGCCCCGTGGGCTGGTGGGAACCTCTTGCTCTGCTCATATGATTCGGGGGCTTCTTTTGCAGAATTGGCTCGCGAGTTGCAGTTTGGCGTGGAGGATATCAACAGGATACGTGTGGAGAACCCCAACTCCTTGTTGGAGCAGAGCTCAGCCCTGTTGAACCTCTGGGTCATCCGTGAAGGCAAAAATGCCAAGAGTCAGTATCCCTGGGCTAAAGAAATCTTCCTTTTCCAAAGGTTACCCCAGGTTTTAGAAGCAGAAATTATCCTTACCCTGAGTTTGGGTTGTTCTTGCCATAAGCTCTATCAGTGATGTTAAGTCTTTCAGTAAATTTAAATACACACATACACACACAGACACACACACACACACATCTTGATTTCATTGAGATTCAACAAATATTATTTTAAGTGACCTCTGCGTTAGATACTAAGTTTGGAGAACACATGATACCTGCCCTCATGGAGCATCCACTCTAGCAAGGGGATATGATAAGTAGAATACAAAATAATGCATGATAAGTGCATTGGAAATAGGCAAAAGGTGCTATGTGAGGTCTAAGGGGGGCAAAATCATTAACAACCAGGGAGATCAGAAAAGATGAAGATGAAGAAGATGTCATAGGCATTGAAATTTAAAGGAGGGGTAGGAATTTAATGGGCCTGAAAGGGAAAGAAGGATATTCTAAGCAGAAGGAATGTCATGGACCAAGGCACAAAAGGGAAGGAATTGTAAAGTGTATACTGGTGAACACAGAAGGGAAGAAACTAAGGATATAAGACTTCCCAGAGATTAGGTGGCCTTGTATGCCAAGATTGTGGAAAGCCTTGAATGCCAAGATAACTTTACGTGGTAGGCAAAGGAGAGCCACTGAAAAGGGGTGTGATGTCACTAGATCTGTGGGTAAGGAAAGAAGGAGGGTCTTTTGCCCAGTGATTAGGACAAAATAATTTGTATCAGATTGCCAGGGAATCCTGCTAAGGAAATGGAGAATCTTAGTCCCAGAATCTCTCTTTGTTAATAAAATTTAAAATGCACCAAAATATTCAGTGAGGGGACTCAAAAATGACTGGAGCTCTTTGAAACTGAGCTTCAGAACCAGTTGGATCTCACTCCTGCAAGAACAATCAGCGATGGGATAGGCACTCCTCCTTCATCACAGGGAGAGAGGAGTCTGTGCTTACGTATTAATTCATTGAGAGATCTCTTTGCTCTTAGTCAACTCCACACATCCATCCTTAAAAACCCAGGATGGAGCATGTGGTCATTCATGTTTGCCATTTCTACTCAGCTTCCTGGGGAAGACAATTTCCAAGGGAATCCTTTCCTTTTCCTAGTCACTGAGAAGCTGTTCCATGAAATCTACCCACTTCCAGAGACTGTTTTGAAGCAGTTGTTGGGGGGGGTAGGAGGGGTTGTAATCTGCCAAAGTGTGAAAAGCTACTCTCTGGAGAGAGAGTTGTTCCAGATTCTGACAGGGGGTGTTTCTCCCTTCTGAGAAAATAAGCCATCTCTTCTTTTTCCATGTCTCCCCACGCCCTATACAAACACCCCCAAAATGATTGTCAAACCTCCAACAGTCTCCTTTGCTAGCCTAAATATAGGCATGTTTCCCAGTGAGTGTTCTTTCACGTAATGGCTGATTCTTTTTTTCTTCTCTGACAGTGGAAAATCTTTACACGGCCCTGAGGAACATTGACCGGAGTGAGATCGTGAACATGTTAGAAGGTTCTGGCCGGCAGAGTAGAAGCCTGAAACCGGACAGGCGGTATCCAGACCGAGACTACTCTTTATCACCATCCCAGATGAATGGTGAGTTTTGCTGGTCACCAAACCTGGGCTCTGCCTATAAGGATCTGCTGTGGGAAGTCCCAGTTCTTTGGAAGTCAACTGTGTTCCAAAAGGGAGGGTGGGTTAGCTCCTCTAGTCTAAGACTTGGTGTAGAGGGAGGCCTGGGCGAGAGCAAGGCTGAAGGAGAGAGAGGCCAACTGTAGGCTTTAAGTCCTTTCTATGAAGGGCAGTGCCCCCTAAACAGAGCGCTTTAGACTCGACCTGGTTTCTGGTCCCTGTTCCGCCATCATGAGGGGTACACATGACCGTGGGGCTACTTAGTTCTCAAGGTCCCAGTTGATCTCATGGTAAAATCAGGGCTTTGGATTAGATATTTTTCAAGGTCTTTCCAGCCCTAACATTGAATAATTTTAAATTCCCGCTAGGGAAGGGCTTTGGAGCATTGTCTCTTTAGCAAAGGCTGCCTGGCTGGTTGTGGATGCCAAATCCCTTCCTTTTGTGACTGCCTCTGTGAGATCAAGACCTTCACTTATTTTTCCAAAGTCAAATCTCTCTCTTTCTCTCTCTCTCTCTTAGCTCTTCCTCCTTCCTTTTTCTAACCCCCATTTCTCTCACCTCCTCTCATTCTAATGTGGTTCCGCATGTCATGGACCCTCCAATAACCTGGCCTAAGGAAAGGGAGCCAGAGGAAGACACTGACCTCTGTCTCCTACTTGCTTCTCCTATTGATGGAGGACATAAGGGATTTTTCCAGGCAGCTGAAAGGTCTTGCCTTGTCCTTGAAAAAGTAGGAGCCAGTAGAAAGAAAGATTGGGTAGGGGCACATTGGGCTTGGGCTCAACCCTCAACCTCATTCCTTAACTAAAGGTAATTAAGGACACCAGTCGCAATGCTATCTTGGTGTAACTGATTCTAGTCCCTCTGCAACCACTACATGGTACAGTGGAAAGAATACTGGTTTTGGAGTCAGAAAACCTGGGTTCAAATCCCGGCCCTGCTACTTACAACCTATATGACCATGGACAAGTTCATGTAACCTCTCTGGGCCTCAATTTCCTCATCTAAAAAATAAGGGGGTTGGATTAGATGTCCTCTAAGGTCCCTTCCAACTCTAAATCTCTGATTCTATAATTAACTAACTCTGGGATATTACACAAAGTCATAGCCCCTGGATTGACATTCATGCCTTTTAATTCTTAAAAAAAAAAAAAAAAAAAGAATGCAATGGCCTCGTGTAGCAGAATACTCAAGGTCAAATTCCAGTGCCAACACTTAACTGCCTGACCTTGAGCAGATCACTAGGCCTCAGTTTCCCCCAATTGTAAAATGAAGAGGCTGGACTATCTGGTTTTTAAAGGTCTCTTCCAACTCTAAATCCTGTGATCTGAGATCCTACCCTAGAAAGCCTAACTTGGCATTTATTTTCCCAATACCTGATTATAACAATCTTCTAGGGGCTGCAGATATCTAAACGGTACAGGGAGGCATGAGGCATGCATCTACACCGTGCCTTCAGTCAGTGGGGATGGAGTCACTGGGGAGCAGGGATCGGGCATGGGGCACCCCCAAAGAAGGGAATGCTGTTGGAACAGCTGCGGCCCCCTACCCCCAGGGAGGCCTGCCTGGCCCCGAGCCAGCTGGAGTCTCTGCATGCCGAGCCCCTCACACTTTTCTCTCTTCTGTGTTCTGTGTATCCTGAAACATGCCATCTAGTGCCGCCAGATACAGGCCACATCCTATGTCGATCACTTCCTGTCACCTTTCTCTTCTGCCTCTGACCTCATCTTGACCTCTAGTTTGCTCATCCTTTTGCACTGCCTGTCTCCACTGTCTCCACCTCAGCCAAGTGTACCAGAACCACCACCAGCCTCCAGCAGATGCATGTCATGAAGACCTCCTAACCCTCTCCCCTCCTCCCAACACCCTGTCTCATGGTTGAGTGCCTGGCGGTGTGTGTGTGTGTGTGTGTGTGTGTGTGTGTGTGTGTGTGTGTGTACTTCTAGGTGTCCTGTGGCTTAAACTCTTAGAGAGGGCCAAGTTTCAATGGGACTACAAGCCCCTTTTCATGGAGAGTCTGTCTTGAATGCTGTCTTGAATGCTGCAGAGACCCCCAGGAGTTTAGGAAGCTTTTAAATCTCTATGCATATCATTCCCAGACTTATATATTGAACCCTAATTTCTTTCTTGAGTTCTAGCCTCACATCATGGCCTATCTTTTGGATATCTTAAGTTGGGTGTCCCATAGGCATCTGAAACTTGACATGTTTAAAACAGAACTCATCTTTCCACTCACTTGCAATGAGAAAATTGTGACTTGAGGCAGAAGCTCAGAAATGAGTACTGGAAATTTTGGAAAATCCAAGTTAATCATGTTGGCAAACACCTCTACCTTCCTACCAGCTGGCCTGGCACTCGTGCTGGCTTTTAAAATGTGCCTACTACATTTAAACTTTCCAATTGATTCAAGTTGACTAAAGATTTATTGGGCTCCTACTATGTGCCCAGGATTGGTCTTTGTTCTATAGCGATACAGAAGAAATATAAGGCAATCCCCCCTCCCTTGGGGAATCTCACAAGAAGGTTGGGGAAATTAGGTTTATACACACACATACACATGTGTACACACACAAAACCCATAAGACAGTGTAGAATCTAATATTGAACTGTGAACTACAGAGCAACAGAGAGGGACTGATGAAGCAGAGGGTCATTCATGCTGTCCTAAGGTTCAGAGATGAGCTAAGAGGCAGGAAGATGCTTACAGGCGCCCAGCCCTGTTATTCAACAAAGAACAGCTCATATCATCCATCTCCCCATTTCAGTGTTGCCGTCCCTTTTTAAGCCAGAATAGGAAACCAAAACCAAAACCAAACAGCTGATTGACCTCATGTTTGGTCCCCAAAGTTTCTAAGAGCTATGAGCATGGGAGCCCCTGAAGTCCTTGGCAGTTTATGAGCACTGGACAGCAACCACGTGTGAACATAGCTCAGAGCAGTTCCTCACAATGTCTCTCTCCAAAGCCAGACTCACCTCTCCACAGGCTGCCACATGGATACCCAGCTGCCCCCTCCCCTTCCCGGCTGCCATTCATTGTTCTGAGACCTTGACCTTACTGCCCAATCAGAAGCAGATTAAAAAACAACAACAAGGAATAACCCGTGTGTTTTCCCTGCCCTTTCTTCTCTTCAGGCAGGCATCCTCCATATCTGGGTCTCCTCCCAGTTAAGGGGAAGGATCCCAAGCCTGATTGGGAGTGGGGGTGGGGGAGGAGGAGAAGAGCTGGAACCGAGCAGTCTCCACCAGTTTCTTCATCTTGAGGCTTAGTAGTTTCCAAAGGGAAGCTTGCCCTTGGAACTACATGAGCATCACCATGTGCTTATTTGTGCTAGTGCCAGGCCTGCCCTCTTTAATTGATAACTGCCATCTTTGCATCTGTTCCCTCTGTGCCTTTGCCAGGCTGCCTCTCTAAGCTGTGTCTAAGTCTTGAACATGAATTTGGGCTGGGGAGCGAGTGGTGCTAGATGATAATGGCAGGTCAGTCCTGTCTTCCTTTAGAGTCTGGCTAGCTAAGAAGGGTTGCTCAGGCTTCCTTCCCACACAGACTCTTCTTGCCATTCACAATAGGATGTGAGGGAGATAAAGGGACATTGAGGAAAAATACAATTTGCTTCCCTTTCAAATGCACGTAATTTTTTTAATTAACAAAAGGAAAAAAAATACAAAGAGTCACAATTTGAACTAGAGGCCTTGGGGCCATTTGTAGATATTAGGGGTTTCATATGTAATCTTTCAAAGAAAATGAATAAAAAATTGCTAATAATTCCAAATAATTAGCCCTTTCTCTACCATCCCACTCTGCCCCCCCCAAAAAAAACCAAAACTGACTCACAAACATAGATATATAAGCGCATAAATACAAACATGTATTAGTTCTATTTGCTACTTTGGTAGATCCATTTCTTTGCTTTAATGATAGCGGAGGTTTTTCAAGACAGATTGTTTGCATATCATTTAGCCAAACACACATTTATTAAGCACCTATTATGTGCCAGGTGCTGTGCCAAGTGCTAGAGATACAAAGAAAGGCAAAAACATGATCCTTTCCCTCCAGGAGCTCACAGTCTAAGGGGGGAGGCAACATGCAGATAACTATGTGCATACACAATATAATGCAGTGTAAATGGTACTAGTCATAGGAAGTGGGGATACTGACAAAGACCTGCTGCCTAAGGAAGGATGTCAGCTGAGTCTTGAAAGAAGCTAGAGAAGCCAGGAGCTGAGGAGGGAGAGCGTTCCAGGCATGGGGGATAGCCAATAGAATTGGGAGATGGAGAATCTTGTGTGAAGAACAGCGAGGAGACTGGTAACATTGGACGATAGAGCACGTGGAGTGAAAGGTAAGGAGATTGGAAAGGTACCAGTTTGTAAGGTCTTTAAATGACAAGAGCATTTTATATTTGATCCTGGAGGCAATGGAGAACCACTAGAGTTTATTAAGTAGGGGTATGACATGGTCAGCCCTGCCATGTTAGGAAATCACTTTGGCAGCTGAGTGGAAAATGGATCGGAGTGGAGAGAGACTCCAGGCAGAGAGACCAAGCAGAAGGCTATTAAAATAGTCCAGGTGTGAAGCGATGAGGGCTGGTACAAGGCAGGGCAGCTGGGTGAGTGGAGAGAAACGAGAGGTAAATCAGGTAGAAACAACAAGATTTGATCACAGAGTAGATATATGGGGTGAATCCAAGTGAAGAGATGAGGCTGATACCAAGTTTACATGTCTGGATGACTGGGAGAGTGGTGTTGACTTTAATAACAATAGCAGGCAAATTGGAAAGAGGGGGTCAATTTGGTGGGAGGAGAAAGATATGCGTTCTGTTTCAGACATGTCAAGTTTGAGATGCCTATGGGACACTCAACTTAAGATATCCAAAAGATAGGCCACAATGGGAGGCTGGAGCTCAAGAAAGAAATTAGGGTTCAATATATAAGTCTGAGAATCTTATGTATAGAGGTGATAGTTG